CTGCACAAAATCTGAGAGAGAAACCTAATCAAACGCTTTGCTAAAACCTATGTATACAGCACTGACAGAGAACTCGTTATTTTGGTCTATTTTTCCATTCTCTCTCGCAATAAGTAAGTTGGTTAGGCGTTAATACTGATACTGAAATCCGTGTTGCTTAGGAGTTAACTGATTGTATGGTGACATGTGACTTAAGTACCTAGCCAGGATTATTTATTACACCAATGTTACTACTATGCTGGCTAGAGTGACAGGTCAGTAGTTGAGTACAATTTGTCTCTATCCACATTTCAGTGTAGAACTAACTATAGTATTTTTACAGTCCCTAAAGAGTTAAATGTAGGGAAGTGACACATTGAACGACATCATTAGATTCATAAAAAATATAAGAGGGATCATTCTTCCCAGAAATTCAATGCATTCTATTTCTACCCAGACACATATCCCAGAGTACAAGCAATCTCCGACACCCAGGATTTGAGGTTTGAATTTGGGCATTGAAGTGCGCGAGGAGTTGTAGACGCTACAGGAGTTATAACTTTTCGTGCCCCAATGGCTACTACACGCATCCTCAGATCCAGTATCATTCGTAATTATGGACTACGTTTTAAACACACACTGCCCCCTTTACCATACGAACACAATGCTTTGGAACCCGTAATATCAGGAGAAATTATGCAGTTACATCATTCCAAACATCATGCAGCATATGTTAATAATCTCAATATTGCTGAGGAACAGCTTGCTGAAGCTATCTCGCAAAGTGACGTTACAAAAATAGTATCTCTTCAGGTCAGTCGTTGTGGTTCAAATATTGGTGTAACATGATATATTCTTGGAGGAGTATTTATACTTAGATATAAGTATTCCGTTTGAGTGTCACTTCAAATGCTTAATACATAGTACCCCATACTATAATATGAAAATAGTAGGTTTTTTCACATTTTAAGACGTAAATCGGTTATGTAGACACCCTTACACATGACAGGTCATTGACTTTGAATACTTCGCTAGAAACTATCATTAAATTCGATATAAGTGAGTTTTTTCCCTTAATCAAAATGATAAAATCTTGCGAATAATGATTTTGTAAGTTTAGTAATAATAACTAACTGAGACACTAAGCAATCGACACTAATTAGTTATAATATATGAGGATTTCTTTAGGTTATGTGCTGGTTACTCTACACTTTTTTACCATTTGCAAACTGAAGAACTCAGTCTTAGGAGTCTGTCTGTAGAAAAACAATAAACCTCACACTCAAAGTTAAACTATCACGCTAATGTATTGTTCCTTAATTGACTGAAATATATGAACAGTACTAAGTCTGCTATTTTTGGTCTACTGTATCAAGCCTATTAGAAGTCGTGAATTGCTTGTCTAGTTTCAAAACCTCAATGTATTACGGTGATCTCGTGAGGAAGGACTTAAAAAAAATTTTCGATGTATTTTCTGTGCTATATTACCTATTCATGTGGTAAATAGGTGTCAAAATTAGTCCTTAGTTGTAGAGACAATCGGGTAGTAATTGTAAGAAACTAGAAGTATAAGCTGATCGTTATCTTGCTTCAAAAACTATAAGCAAGCAGTAACGGAACTAAAAGTTTTATTTTTCACCTGTTTTTCCCTCGCCTTCCTTTCTATTCTGTATCGTTCCTGGCGTATTTTTTATGGGTGGTCTACTATTTTCGGTCGGAAATCACTCAGTCTTCATGTTATACCGAGTGAGAAAACCACACCTGTAGTTTTCTTCATTGTCAAGCTTAAATTTCTAGTTATTTATACCTTCTATATGCTTTACCCACCATATACTCTTAGGCATATGAACTGCATGGAGTAATGGGTAATTGCAGTGTTACATAGGCCAAAAAATGTAAATATCGTATTGGTCTTTTTCAATTATTCGTCCGTACTGAAATCGGTAGAAAGTTGTTTTTCAAGTTAGGAACAAGGACTTTAGTCGAAAAAATTCTAGTCGTAAACGTGGTTTGGCTTTGATAAAGATGTAAGTTGATAGTAAACTATAGAATGATATACTAGCAGCTCATATGTTTGGCTTATTAATTTATACCTTCACTAAATATATCGTTTTGCACCTCCAAACTTACTCCCTCTCGTCCTAAATTATGTGTATCAAATCATTCATCTAACTCAAGTTTATTTACTCAGCTTTGCGCCATAATTTTAACTGGAGATACTAGTCAGCTGCTTCCTTTTGTTGATAAGCACGACATTTCTAAACAATTTTATTTGGTAGTGGACCCCGTTAATTATGTTAAAATTCACTGCTTTTCCAACATTTTTAAATGTTTTCTATTAGCCAGCACTCCGTTTTAATGGTGGAGGACATATCAATCACAGCATCTTTTGGCATAACCTTAGTTCTAAAGGTGGGGGTGTCCCTACGGGTAGTTTAGCTAATGCTATTAATGATGAGTTTGGATCGTTTGATAACTTCAAGTCAAAGCTGTCTGCTGCAACAATTGCTATCCAGGGTTCGGGTTGGGGTTGGCTTGGATATAATCCCAACACAAAGCGTTTACAAATTGCCACATGCGCTAATCAAGACCCTCTTGAAGGGACTACGGGTAAATCTTAAGATGACTTTTTCACATATGCATAATGCCATTTGGTTAACTAATAAGCTTCAGAGTGTAAGGAGTATAGTTTTTCTGTTATCTAACTCCTAGTTGCAAAGCTGTGGTTTAAGTTTGCGTTAAAGCTTCACCTATACTACAGTTTGTCCAAATATGGTATTTATTGGATTCACAAAACAACTATGACTTAAGGTCCATTAACCCATAAAGATCTGTATTCGCAACTAAAGCACTCAATTCTCAACTGTTAACTTTCAGTTCCCAGGTTCTCTTTACCTATTTCATAACGTGCAGTTGAATGGTATCAGAACTTAAGAACTGATTTTTGTCTATGATTGAAACAAGGATGATCAAGTCATTTCCATGATAGTATCTTAGTTGATATCATCACTAAATATGACGGTAAGATTAACTCATAGTCTTCAAATGCTCTGATACGGCCGAGGGCAGGTAGAGTCCACTATCCCTCTCGAAATGCTCTCACATAGACATGCGTATACAGCTGCTGCTAGGAAAGTCCTACTCACTGCCTTCTAGCAGAGGGGACACTGTTTACAAGTTTGAGAGGACGGCGCTTTAACCGGGCTTGTGGATACGGAGGATCCCAGTTAGGAGAGTTGGAAAACCCTGATTGCAAACCAATGGTGCACACGGACACCCGGATCCTGAGGGAACAAGTAACGTACGAACCTATTTATGGTCACCGGCTACCATGAGCCTGCATCTCCTAAAGATGCTCCACTGCTTCGTGGATTAGGTCAAAGGCTCGGGTTGTGGCCTCCTAAGAAAGCCACGTGCTTCGGTATGGGCGCTTAAGGAGTATCCCAGCCCTCACACAAATCGAGTGAAGTGTGACGCATTTGGCTCCCCCTTGTGTCAAGGTGTATGTGTTTAAATAAATAAATAAGGCTCTTACAATGTAGCACTACAAAATCCTAAGAATAATGACAGATATTATAGTGTAAACATAAGAACATTTTAGCACCATCAATATATCACAGGTAATAATAAAGTGATCTTTAACTCTTTTGTGTAGAAATTTTTGACAAATACTAAAAATCTTTATTAACACCTCTATTCAAAGCTTAATGTACCTATTGAATTTTATTAAAATTTATAGGTCTGAAACCTTTACTTGGGATTGACGTTTGGGAGCATGCATATTATCTTCAGTACAAAAATGTACGTCCAGACTATGTAAAGGCGATTTGGGATATTATAAATTGGAGCGATGTAGCTAAACGATTCGATCTCTGTAGGAAATAATTTCATCGTACTATCGTCTGTCAAACTCAGAACTGTCTCATCTCCTTTTGTACGATTTTCAGCAGTAGTTTCGTTATATCCTGCTATTTGTACGTCACATTGATTATTTCTCAAAAATAAATTCATTTACAAGTAAAGTGCTTCAGTCGATTTTTTCTTTTCAGAAATAGGTTTCGCCAGTCGCGTAAGTCATACCTGTTTGTCGAAGAGATACTTAGTTACTGTCAGTAGATGTTGGAAGAAAAATAAGTAAATATTAATAGCCACTCCTGAATTTCACAGCAAACGCTCTCGACTTCACTGAGGTTTACCAGTCACCCTGATAGTTAATTATTTGAGATACCCTTGTGCATAGATCTAGAGTGAGATGGAAACTCCAAATAACTTAGTAATAACTGGTTTTTCTTAAATAAACTTGTGACTTATAGGATCTGGGAGCTGATATTGATACGCGATCTTACTATACACGAGCCCAACCGGTTACGTGAATGAAAGAACAAAGTGATAAATTTTATTGATTAAACCAAATCGACCATATATGTACTCATTCGCACGTTTGCTTCTTGGCATATTATCTCTTAAAAATGAAACCTGTGTTTTGGCTAATTACGTTCACTTATTATTCAGTCGATTTCTGATCAACCCAATATATCAGCCGATATAAAATTAATAAAATATGTTGGAAACCCCCTTTTTGAATTGCATTTTTGCAAGGTTTCTATAGTGTCCTAAAATAAGATAATTAGATCAAAGAAGTTCGTCTTCTCTTATCAAGGGTGACAATTTTTTTCACAACATGGTCATCCCTCGGTTGATTGAAAACACAGATAATTGCTTTTCCAAACGAAAAGGTAGATAGGACTGTTATGAACGAAAATCTAAATACCTGTTGCGTATTTAACAGTTGTCAATTACAACGCTATAAATGGCCTAGATACATTTCATCTTCACGCTTACTCGCGATACGCGGGAAATACTCCGAAGACAATTAGGAATCTGCATCTCACGCGTGTCTCATTCCATAGACCATGTTTCACAGGCATAGAAAAATACAGGGTGATTCGCTACTTTACTTAATTCCTAGAAAATTTATGTTTTTGTTATTAAACGACAATGAAGAAATATACAGTAATTTTAAATTAAAAAGATTTTACGATATTTATTTGTACAATACACTTAAAGTATTTACACATCAGGGATTGTTAATTTATACATTTCACCATCATAACTTAGTTGGCCTTCTCTAATTTTCTTATCTAGAAATCGGCGTAGTTCATCTCTATTAAATCCTAAACTGGATGTAGAACCGAGTGCGAACATCTTAAGCATCGAATGGATTCGATCTAATGACGAACTTCCAAGGTTGGTTAACATAGCAGTGATATAAGACCAAAATACCTAAATAAGAGTAAATATGAAATCGAAACAAAAATTTAGCTATATATGGTTTAATGTACCATCAGTCAGTCATAAACAATGCAATAACATGCAAAAATATGCGTAAACCTAAAGTTGTTACACATGAACTAAAGTACGGTGCATTTTATAAATAAATATTCATCTGTTATCGATATCCACCTTTCTTTGCATCGACGTGTATAAGTTCTGTTTCAGTGATAACCAAAATAGAATGAGCATCCTTAACTGGAAATAGTAACCTAGCTGTCAGCAGTTGTTACTGACTGGGCTGTATTTTACACTGAAATCTACCTTTTATCGATTACTATTTCTGCCCATTTATTTATTGACTATACTGCCACTTACTCTTTTATTTTTTTATAAGTGTAGCACACTTTTTGTTACGTATTAGGATTTATGTACTTTAAATGAAATAAAACAGTTATTCATAACAAGAGCAATTATTCCCTCTTATTACTGAAACGTATCTGACTTATTTGAGAGCAATGTTGACGTATAAATCAAATGTCCATTCATGGATAGTATTTATGTTTACAACCTTTTGTATGTGGGGACAAATACATATAACCAATAAACACGAATAGTTGTGTTTTATCTACTACATAATTATTATACAAGCACGATTCAGATGAGTAATACTTTACTTCCGAATAGCTTCAATGGCAGGGAAATAATCGGTATGGAAGTCCTTGCGAACTCACATGGGATATAGGTTAAGGCACTGAAAGCGACGCTTAAACTTATCGAAAGATAAGCTTCAGCTTCTCTACATAAACTGCTTGATTTTGGTACTGTCAAATATAAGCAATGATTCGTATGGACGATCTTTTAAGTAAAAAGCAAACGCACATGCAGCAAAATACTCTATTATTGATATTTTACAGCCTGATAAACGTGACGCTTCAACTATAAGTTGGAATAGCTTGTTATTGAATTTCGTTATTTGAAGATTATTCTTATATGCCACCGGAGATCACATTCAATCATTTCTAAATGGTTGAATTTCAAGTGTGAAAACGCGAACGAGTAGTTTAAGGCATGCAAAAGCAGCTTCGAAATTTGATGATTAAAAAACACTTCTGAAGAGTGGTCGTTAATTGGCAAGGTTTAATTTCATCGATCTTTATATTATCGAGCAGTTTGACGACATTGAGGTAACAGGCTAATGTCATCGTCATGTATTTCCAATAGCCTTACTTTACGGTGTCATCAAATGGTACAATTAAAAAGGGATAACAAAATTGAGCTATTATGTCTAAAGATGTTGTTGGTCGATTTAAAGGAAGGTGGATGATTGCACAGATTAGTGTATCCTGTGTACATGATATTTATTAAAGATACTACCCTTTGAGGGGTGAGTCAGTAGCGCAACGATGTTTCATTAAAACTACATGAATGTGTATTCAAATGAAACTAAACTTGTTCAATATTGCATTTAATAGTACTAATACTGTTCTATTGAGTGTGTTGATACCTTTCAAACAAGTGTCACTTAACTATGTAAACTAATGAACTAATATGGAATATAATAGGAATGTTATATAACATATAGTGTACAAATTAATATGAGTATTATTAGTACTTACTTGTAATTCCTTTTCTTTACGTTCTCTAACACTAGCTACAAGTGAATCAGAATGATCTTGTGATGTAAACATCCAATTATTTGTTGCTTCAATAGTGTTTGAATCAATTTTCTCAGGATCATTTGAATAATTTATACTATTTGAATTACTTAACTTCTCATTTGAATTAGTAGTATCTGTCTCGTCACAAACTTCATAGATTTCTAGATTTTCACTTGTAAAATTTATATGGCTATTACTATCGTGTGAATCAGATAGTCGTATAAATCCTAACTGAATAAACATATATAAACTAGTCCGAATCGTGGAGATTTGACTTTCTAGTTTCTTGAGGAATTAAAAGAAAATAGAAGATAGGGGACAAATATGTCAATAATAGTAACGAAAACAAGTAAATGGTATACACGTATAACTAAACAACTAATAAATTAGACTTGAATATTTGTTAACGGGATAGAATCCTGAATATTCTTGTCAGACTCAGATTATAATACGTTAATGATTGATCTATGCATTCAAGCAATCAGTGTTGTTGGATGAATCAAGAAGATTCCTTTATAAGTTCTATATAAAATACAATGTTTTTACTACTGTATCTCTAATGTCTCGAAACTCAATCGATATGTGAGTGTCGTGACTTGAGATAAATACTGATTACTACAACTGGTAAGACTGTTTACTATGACTGAGGAATAACTGCAACTTCTCGCAATGGAACGAGACTCCTATGTTGACCCAAAGAAAAGGACAAGACTATAAGAAAACTGATCTATTCAGCAACCACAGTAATTATTTACGCATAATTTGAAATGGTTGATCAATCAATAATTTCGAATGAGTTAAGCTAGCATTTAACCACCTATCTAATGTGTGTAAAGAACAAATGAACTGACTTGACTTATCAGTGGATTATTTGTTTTTGTTTCCTTCTTAACAGTATTTTTGTCATTTAGATTATTCAAGTACATATTGGTCGCTTTTAATTCTCGTACTGATTTGGGAAGAGACGAAAACAGTAGTCGTGGTCAGGAAGTATTAAAGAGTAGAATGTAGCAGTGCTCAATTTTGAGCTACATTTTACGTGTGGAAACTAGTAGTAGTATTTTGATTGGTAAAATCGAAGTAAGAGAAGTGGAGAGTTTGGAACTATGATGGAATGATTGAAAATCAAGTACTTTAACTACACCTCCAGGTTGTATCTTTTCATTTCTGCAGCAATTTGGATGACTCTCCCGGTCTCCTACATTGTACGAGCATTCCATGTACCTATGCTAATCGTTGCTCTGGTTGTCAGAAGGGGCGTCAGCCTCGTGACTTCCGAAGGAACTTGGCTTTCACTATGAGGTGTCATAACTCTTTTAAATGAAGACCTTTTAACTCCCAGGACAGTTTAAATGGTTTGGATTATTTTTCTAGTTAGCATTTTTTGGCGAGTTAGGTTTCTACGGGATGGCGTTGCTAACCTCATGCTCAACCCTCCTCCTTTATCCCGGCGCGGGACCGACAGTAGCCCCAGAGGAGCTCCAGGCGGAGTCAACCAACATCAAAGTCAGTTCTGTGGGGAAACTTGGAGAACTACGAAAGCCATCATCCAGAAAATACAAGTGTTTATTAACAATTGCCTACGGAATATACTTCGGATCCGTTGGCCAGACACTATCAGCAACAACCTACTGTGGGAGAGGACAAACCAGATTCCGGCGGAAGAAGGAATCATGAAGAAACGCTGGAGGTGGATAGTATACACGTTGAGGAAAGCACCCAACTGCGCCACAAGGCAAGCCCTCACTTGAAATCCTCAGGACCAAAGGACACATTACGCCGAGAAATAGAGACAGACATGAGAAGAATGAACAAGAAATGGATGGAACTAGAATGGAAGGCCCAGAACTGAGTGGATTGGAGAATGTTGGTCGGTCACCTATTTTCTATCGGCAGTAACAGGCGTACGTAAGTAAGTGATTTGACTCCACTTAGGTCAAAATAAACAACATATCTTTGATTGACAGATAAGAATTAACGGTACAAATTGGTGACTTAGTTTGAAGGGATGCAAATTTTATAAAATGAACTTAATTTGAAAGTTTCATTAATTTTAGTTCGGGTGACAGCTGATAAAAATTACACAGGGATAAAAAGGCTTGTTTGCATTGTATCAACGTATGTTTGCTGTATCGAAAGCGGGATGACTGATCGTATGTCAAACAGCTGTCTATTGTAACAAATAAACCCAGAAGTTATTGTTTGTATGTAATCATACTTCCCTGTGAAGTAGCCCCCAAATGCCCTGGTATGGCCGAGAGTGGGGTGGGCCCTTCCCCCCTCTCGAAATGCTCTCACATGGCCACGCGTATACAGCCTCTGCCAGGGAAGTCCTACTCAATGCCTTCTCGTGGCGAGGGTGTTGTTTATGAAGTTGAGAGGGCGAAAAGTGAATGTCCGGCGCTTTAACCGGATTCCAAACCAATGGTGCACATGGGCTCCAGTATTCTAAAGGAAAAAATGGCGTATGAACCACTCGTTGGTCACCGGCTACCATGGGACTGCATCTCTTTACGATGCTCCACTGCCTTGTGGGTCAGACCTTAAGGTCAAAGGCTCAGGGTGTGGTCCCCTAAGAAAACCACCTGCTTCGGTTTGGGCACCCGGGCAATATCACAGCCCTCACACAAATCGAATGATTTATGTGGCGCATATCTATTTGGTGCCTCTTTGTACCAATATCTATGTGTTAAAATAAATAAATAAAAATAAATAAATGTAAAAGTAGTACATGAAAGTAGTAGATTCGAGTCTAGTAGCTCCACAACATAGCCTACTGAGACACAAAGTAGGAAAGAATGCACGCCAGAACTTGATAGAGACGTAGTCAATCGCCTGTAAAGCCTATTTTACTTCTGAAGTTACGGATCGGATACTTCAAATTCACTCGTCTAGATTCTTTAGTCGCCAGGTCGTGTTCACTTTGAAGAGCAACAACAGATGTGTACAGTCTTTCGGGAAAATTATGCACCTTGTTCAGCATTCTAAAGGCTAGCAGACTGGAGTGTGTCGTAAACATTCATAAAAAAGCAAATAACCTTTTAAATAAAAACTGATATCGGACTGATTGTTTTGTGTAATAACTTTAGGTTAGCTAGTAAGAAACAGATTTACTTACTTGAGCTAAATCTCTTATATACCAAGTACGTTGTTTTGTGAATAGATGAACAATTGATACTTGCAACGGTGTAACATCAATTTTCACGCTACGTTTGCCAAGTGTAAGATCGATATTCACTAGACCCAGTTTATGCATCCAATTGAGTGTTCTATTACCTTTAAGACGTTGGAAACATCTAAAATAAAGAATTTTCCAATGAGATACATAAAGCTTAGGTTGTTACTGATTGGACTACACTACTAGAATTCAACCAATTCTAACCTTGTTTTATGAAATATTTATCAAGGCATGATTTTTCTTGGGTTGATATATACTGTTTTAAAATTCCACTTTGAAGATACTTAATAGATGATATTGAAAAGAAGTGAAACGGACACACAAACACGCAGATGCCTCGGAACGTATATGCAATGGAGTTAATGTTTATTTCAATTGTGAAATAGACGAACAAGGAAACAAGTATGAATTCCAAAAGTTACCCAATATGAGGCACTACAACTATTGATACAACCAACATAAAAAAATAACAACAGTCAAATATCAGTTAGTCCACTCTACTGGGAAAGTTATTGACTATGCAGCAAGAACGTGTTAAAAAAGTCCCAACTAATAGAATCAACATCGATTTTGATTTCACTAGCCAAACTAATCATTTAAAACGTCCTTAAATGACCTGGTACGGCCGAGGGCAGGGAGAGTCCACTATCCCTCTCGAAATGCTCTCACATAGACATGCGTATACAGCTGCTGCCAGGAAAATCCTACTCACTGCGTTCTAGCAGAAGGGATGCTGATTACGAAATTGAGAGGACGAAAAGCGAATGTCCGGCGTTTTAACCGGGTTAGTGGACACGGAGAGTCCACCTAGAGAAGTTAGGAAACCCTGATTCCAAACCAACTGTGCACATGGGATCCAGGATCCTGAGGGAACAAATGGCGTATGAACCAATTACTGGTCACCGGCTACCGTGAGCCTGCATCTCCTAACGTTGCTCCATTACCTTGTGGATTAGATCTCTAGGTGAAAAACTTGGGAAGTGGTCCCCTAAGAAAATCACCTGCTACTGTTTGGACACTCAAGCCTTATTCTCGCCCTTTATATCATAAGTGAGGTGAGTTGATGAGAAACTAAGCGAGGAGGTGGTTTTATTATATATGCTTTGGATACCCTAACAACTAATAAAGTTGAAGATAGTGTCCTGAATAATTTACCAGAATCAGTCTGAATATCAGTCAACACCCTGTATCATAGTCTACTCCTTGGGTGTATATACAGAGCTCCTGATAGTTCGAATAATGGGAATGATCTTATTATCAATGCATTCATACATGCATCTGCTCTAAACTTTAATGATAAGGTTATCACTGGGGATTTTAATTATCCTGGGATTAACTGGAGCACTGGTAGTTGTCAGTCATGGAATGATGAGTTCTCGGCAACCATTAACATGCACTGCTGGTCACAGTGGGTTCGTACCACAACTAGAGACGTTATCCCACTATCTGTGAAAGTATACGATGAATTTGAAAGTAGTGACCACAAGATAGTAGTTTGCGCTCTCCCTATCTATCCCTCTTATAATCGACCCATTCAAAAAACATGTCAATATAGAGACTATAAGCATGCTGACTGGGACCTCCTGCATTCACTGATTAAACTTTTAGACTGGGATAACTTTTTTCATGTAATAGTCTCATGGATGCTATCGATGAATTCTATCTGATCGTTGACTCTTGTTTAGATTCCTGTGTACCTCTTAAAACGTACAGGTTTAGTAAACCTTACGAATTATATATACCAACTAAATATCGTAATAAGCTAAGACGCCTGCAGAATCGTTATTTTACGGCAAACGAATTCACGGTAGTTGCACAAATAACAATAATTTTTAATCAAATTGAAGAGAAACATAGGTTAAAAGCCATTAATGAGGAGATACTAGCACTCAATACTAACTCAAAGGTACAAAGCTTAACTCTCCTTTTCAATAAACGCGCTAAAGCAACTCAAAATGTTGATATACCATGCATCCAGCATAATAGCACTTTTATATACGACTCTAAAACTATAGCAGACCTTTTCAGTGGTATTTTTGCGAATGGTGTAGGAATCATAAGTGGAAAATTGCATCAGCATGGAGCTTAACAAGGTAGCGCAGTGGTGCTTAAAATGGCAACTGGAGCTTAATACGGCTAAATGTGGATGGATATGCTTCGGCGATACATCACTCAACCTAGACCTTACCATAAATGAAATGTTATCTGCAATTCATGTACCACCTTAACAATTACTGAACTAGTATACCTAAAACTTTCTTCTACCACATGTTTGTTCTGTACATCTAATGTTACTATTTATATTAAATTGATCATGCCTGTAAACTGGAGTGAATTCTGTAATTATTATTTTCAGAATATATAAATTATTATTATTAAGTATTTTGTTTAGTAATTGATCACGTCTACTTAACGAGGCGTCATTGATTGAATTTAGAATGGTTTGGATTATCGCGTTGTCGATATTTTTGACTGAAGTTTAATCAGTTGTGGTTGGCATTAGGGATCATGTGCCGGTTATCTCAATATGGTCATTGAGACACAAGTTGATGTAGGATAAGTGGGGCAAGGGAATCCGCACAAAATGGCCATATCGCAACCAAGACTGATTGACTTTCAGTAAAAAAAACCAATAGGATAATCCAACCCACTTCGAATTGAAGTAAATCTCATACTCGTTGCACACGATTGGTTATATAGAATCAGTAGCTAAGTGGACCATGCGATGGGGTTTGAAGCGAATGGTACTGGGTTTGAGTCCCAAAGTAGACATCAAATCTGGAATTCAGGTACATTCGGCTGTCGAGTCCCAGATGTGACGAAACGCGCGTCTTGGATTCCACTGCTAGCCACCATCTATCTATTTTACGTACGTTATGGGTTTAAAACCATAGATTACAGGAAGTTGAATAATAATAAGAAATATACCGCTAGAAAGATTACGAGTGTTATTTTGAGATAAACGATTTAGTCGTAAAACACAATTGGACAATATAAAGTTGACTAGAATTAATATTTTTTAAAGTCAAGTGAACTTCGATCTGCTTTCACAGTAAGATAGGTCGTTGAATTTCAGAAAAAATCTTCGGTTTGATGTAAAATCCTTTCATGATACAAATACATAACATAGATTAATAATAAGCACTTTAAGTATACATACAATACATAAATCCTAAATAAACTTGTTGATCCAATATACTACTTACTGTTCATAGTGTTCAAATACTGGACGAAAATCTTCAGGTATTTTAAATTTATCATCAAGCAATTCTGGCCAATAATGAATAGATAAAATGTAAGCAGATAAAGGAAAAGCAATATTATTAGCACTACTACTATTACTGCTCAAAATAAAATTATCATCATTACTGGCAGTAGTAATGGGAGTCGTAGTAGCGCCAGTAACACATACGACAGACGTTGCTTTATTCTCCAAACAATCAACTTTTAACTGCGTTTCATCTGATTCCATGATTTCATTACCATCAGGAGCAAGAGTAGGACTGTTTAATAATTTATCTGTTTGATCTAAATGCTTTCCTTTTGAATTATTTGACGTAGCTTCTGATACTAAATTAGCAATTCGTTTCGAATCTCGAATATCTTTAAGCATAACCTATACGTGAGAGAAAAATTTAACGCGGATAAGACTAGAATTTAAAGACATTTAGGTTTGTCTACTGTTAAATTTTGAGGTAAATCATAAGAAATCTAACAAAACTGTTGTTTACAGGTGTAAGAACAGATGTAAATGGAAGGGGTTCGGATGTATGACTGGACAACAATAAAACGATCGTTTCATTCGAATACCACAAAAGATCCCTTTGACTGTATGTTAAACGTGGACGGTGAGTGACAGCTTATGCAAATAAAACATATGAGTTGCATAGATATATAGGCTCTGTAATGATAAGTCGCTAATAAGAGTAGCATATCACAGTTACAACTCTGAAAACGATATACATCGATTATAACAAGGCTACCAAATATAAGAATAGATACAAACAGGTTTCTGTTTCAGGCGGTAAGTCAAACTTCTAGTCTGACAAAGAATGACAATAACTGACCATTAAGAGGGGAGTGTATGAGCTAAACCCCAACATTATTAACAGTATCTTGGCAACGCAGTCCTCAAACTACCGATATAGTCTTAACACTTATAGTTTACTTCCACAGGACCAGAACGTATTTCTTGTCAAATAAATAAAATCACACTCATTCACTGAAAGAACCATTGTGATAATTAAAAGCATCAAATACAGAGCTTATGGTTTGTTCATTGACTTCATGAACTTCACTTTAGTTTTATTGCTTGGTTTGGTATTGTAATACATATGCAAATAAGGATTAACTATCGTTCAGAACCGCTCCAATTTTCACCACAAAAAGTGGTCACTGACAAGGTAGCTGAATAACAAGACTTTTAAAAACTCTATAGGAGAAAACCTAGAGACAGACTGGACAAATGTATTGTAACAAATAAGGATAAGATTGGTACACCCAAAGTTCGTAAAATAACGATATCATGACCTTCGTTCGTCCATGTATTGGATGAAGTTGTAAAAGCCTACAAGGTGGCTCAAGGCATTGGTCAGATAATTTCAAGTCTACCCATTAGTGTAGCTTGGAATCCCTAATTTTCGCTTTCTTGATAGTCAATGAAAAACACTTGTGCATACGTTAACAACCAAACCAGATATGGGGTAGATTACGGAAAATCTTCGTCATTATATATATAATTTTGAAATCACAGAGAAGTTTGATAGCGAATACTAGAGGCAATAGCGTTTAATGCTGACACAATGTCAAAATAACAGTAGAAGAAAATTAAGTTCACACCAAACGACTTACTTCACATTCATGTAAATTCTGTTCGCCAAACCGAAGTTTTAACAGCTCCAAGTTTCTTAATTCTCTTGCTGTATGGAAACTTCTCTGTCTTAATAAACGTTGACTCAATAATTGTTTGTATTCAACTAAAAATGCTTTCTTGCTTCCATAAATACTAACTAACATGCTTAAAAGATCTAATTTACGACGCCAAGATCCTCGCTGACATAAAGCTTCAATAGGATCTGGTTTCCAATCACTTTCCAAAAGAAAATGTTTATCTGAGTTAGCAGAATGTATATCGGAGTCAAATGGTGGGTCTGCCATCAAAAGAAAAGGTATTAATATTATTGAGATGAATACATATTGTACTTATTATTTCGACATAACAAAATAAAACGGTGATTATGACGAATGTGTGGATTAACTTTGTGTAGATGGAATGTTCATAACATGGTATAAACAGGTGGACAAGTCATACATATATATAACCGATGAATTACTTGGACCCTGACTAACTTCTTATAGGACATCTGCTTCAGTCTGGGCACCCGGGCAGTATCACAGCCCATACACAAATCAACTGACTTGTGTGGCGCATATTTATTCGGTGCTTCTTTGTAGCAATATTTGTGTTCAAATAAATAAATAAACTTATAGGACTGAGATCTTTACATAGAACTCTGACGCTGAACAGTAACAGATGTTATATCTAGTTGTTATGACTGATCAAACTCAGAAAATCACAAGGAGATGTAACCGCTTGTCTAGATGACGTGACATCTAAGTATTGTTCGCTTAAAGATAGGAACAACTGGCGAGAACTCTAGGCATTGGTTTCGTTCTAGTTAGGAGTTATCAGCAGGGTATTATTGCAATCTTGAAGGAACCGAGCTTCCTGTGGGATTTGGTTTTTTTAAAGCCACATATCTTACTAATAAGCCGTTGAGGCAGCGACTGATCTCCTGTAGAACTGATATGTTTACAGTAATTTATTACGTTGAATACTCCTCAGTACTGAGGAGTACTCAACGCTAATTTTTTAGTTTTAGTGCTGATTGAATGTATTTAATAAGTTAACGCTCATAAATCCCATTATTAGTTTCTGAATTTGGAATTTTCGACGAAGCAGTTACCTTTCGATAGTTATGCTATATAAGATACTATTTCAAAGAGTCTAGTAGATTGCCTTTGGACATTTCGACGCAACGGGAATTTATGACTTACTTTACAATCAAACTGAGTGGTTTTCAACAATTTATTTACTACAAAACATTTGAATATCACTCATGACCCTGTTATGATAACATAGAAGAAGTAGTTTAATGACTAAACCACCCAGATTTTAACAAGATGTCAAGCGTTCGAAATACTCTTTGGCTGTTTCGTTAACAGGGTGGTATCACTGATCAATACATAGTGTGATTTATAGCCAAGCCAATAAGTCATGTTGAATGACTACATGATCGAACTATGAAAACTAAAATAATACCCCGCCTATGTAGGCTTTTTAAAGCATTTGATAAAATAATTGTACACATAACTATACATAAGGGAATTCGGTTACATATATCCCATTTACATGAAAGATCAGTGCGGTTTCAGAGTGGATCAATTTTCTTCAGTGGATAGTTAACTACTTTATTAGGTTTGTCGCAAACGATTATGATTTCATTTACAGTTACTGTATACAAGGATATATATATATATATATGGTCATTGCTTATTTACAATGTTGATTTACCTTCATAGACAATATCAGCATCACTATCTTCACCACCATCCAATGGTTCAACTTCCAATGGTTTAGGTAATAATAACTCTTGATGAAGTTCTGTAGTTGTATCAGTGTATGCTTCAGCTTTAATTTCATCGTCTTCACCATCGGTTTCAGGGCCAGAAATTAATTTATCAACTATACAACGAACCGCATCCTCTCTTTGCCGAAGACATGCCGAGACTGGTTTGCAAACTATATCTTGTACCAGAAATGTACTATCGATTAAACGTAAAGCCCGTACTAAGTAATTATAAGCAGCTAAAATTTGTTCAGTATGAACACCTGGATGCAATAATCGTTGTTGAACCTAAGTGAGTTAGAATAAATTGGTATATTGAAGAAACATGTTCATATCAAGATGATATAATAAAAGACAAACTGATTCTGACTAAATACAACAATACATTCGATACTTTGTTGAGTGCAAATCGATGAACAGTCTGGATCAAAAGATTCTGATGTCTGATGAAAATAGCCTTATTTATGTTGATGCGTTAAATTAGTTAAGTATAAATTACTTCAATAAGACTGGAAGGAGTCGGTGTTTGTGCTCATAAAGTGAAGGATTGTGTGTTTAGGTAGTTATGTGAGTGGAAGTATTGTTATTGCTGGCAAAATTAGCATTTAAGTGAGTAAAGTTAGGAATAGTATGTTTTGATATGAATCACAACGTCTACAACGTTATAACATTGGTCTGGTAATGAAAGGTTGTGTGTTAGTCAGTTGTATGGAAACTATTGCCTTGCATAGGTGTACATCGGTTCTGTTTCAGCATTTAACATCTACTGAGACAAAAAAAAACAAGAGTAGTTCAGTAAAAGGATGTCTTCAAAGCTGTGAAATCTCTAATATAATCATCTTAGGATGTTAATTTATAATGTTTGTTATCAACAATGACCTATAACATGAATAATTTCCAGTGGGATCACTGAGAAGGGATTTCTTAGCCGAGTTACTCTGGTGTTTTATTGTTACATTACAGTTGTTGTGTAGACCTCAAATAAAAATTGTGCACCATTTACATGGATAGAACCAGCAGTTAGCGGTTTAACGGGATGATGAATCAATTATGTGTGTAGTGCTATGACGCACTGAGTTTTGCACTCGTCGACTAGAAGATAATAGAACACCACTACACCTGTTGTATTGCTCGCATTTATTGGCAACAATACGTAAGCAGCTCTGTTGGTTAGGATGAAACACATGCCTAGTTTGGAGTTGGTGAATTGCTTTCTAAATTATGAAGGACGAATTAGTACTCATGTTCCTAGAGAAACTAAATAGACCAGTTGCAGAATATGGGTCGGATTGTTAATTGGTATCTTAGAATCTCGCTACGGATGGGAAGTTTAGAACGCACTTGTCATAGTTATTTACAGCCATTAGCTCATTCATGATTTCGCTTTACCGTTATGAATATCGCAAACATTTAAAGAGGCAGATAAATGGGACACTTACATTTCAACAACAGCAAGTCCATATTTACAGTGAAATGGAAACAACAAAAAATTGGATAACTTACTTCTTCGGTTAGGTGAGTAATCAAATCTTGACGTATTGGGAGATTATCCAAACATTTACCCAGGTCCATAAGCGCAGCAACAGAGTCTGGGTATTCAATAACTAATGAAAACATATCAGGTTTATGGACTAAATAGAATGTCTTATATACAATTTCATCCGATAACTCAGAATTGATATCATGTATATCAATTTTTCTTGAAAATAGTCTAGGTATGAGAACTTTTTTCAGTACATAGTTTTTATATTTTATTATTGAATCTAGAAATCGTTCGGCATAATTTTCAGAACACAATAGCTTTGTTCTGTATGATAGAGCTTCTTTAATATAAGGTGCACATAAATGTCGATATAAATTATTCCAACTGACTAGAGAATGATTATGAGTTAAATTCCGGGCTGACAACAAAATTTGCATTTTTCTGTCTGTAATGTTTGGACAAATGATGGAAGAGAATATATTCGACTCTTCAGTATCCATTTCAGCTGACTCAAGTTCTAAACACAAATAACTATGCCATAATGGTTGTAATAAATTTTCACATTTCAATGAACTTAACACAGATGTAACAAGGCACTGTACATCGCTCATTATTTTATTGTCATTCATTATTGACTCCAGTCTTGAGTCGAGGATAGATCCAAGATATGCATTCAACTCGTCATTTAAATTACCAATCAATTTTATGAACAAACACAGTAACCTCAGAAGATCATTATCATCATCAAGAGTATGATAAAGATTGATAGTAGAAATACTCACCAAACAATTACATTCTTCCACCAGCGTAGCGAGTTGTGATGTTAAGTCCGAAGTTTGTAAGAAATATACGACTTGTTCGAAAAATAATTCTTTACAAAAACAAGAATCTATAGCATCGCAACCAAAAACTTCTCGCAGATTGTTGTGCAGAGAACTACTCATAGTTCTTTATTGACAATATAAGACATTTGATGAGGCCTGTGAGGTCGAAAGCATCAATCATTAAATATTACCGAAATATACTTCTACGTCAATTCTAGTAAATACTACATTTAAGAATAGAAGTTTGCGTGATGAGACTATAATTTATGGACGAGCTTTGAGCGACGCCAGACTGGCCTGGAGAGTGTCTACCTAGTAACCAGGATTAAATGAGGGTTATGAATCTGTGTGAGGAATTAGAATGGTTCCAATGGTTGCGGACGGAATGGAAGAAGCTTTCGCTGAAAAGGCTTCCGTGTCTAGTAGCAGGGGATCACCGAAACCTCCAGGCAGGAACCTAGGTATGTTAACAATAAAAGAGGAAAAAGAAATTAGAAAATCATCGTGTGATACTATCCTTAATCTTTAAGATTAGATCAAGTTGCCTCTTAAAGGACTCCTGGGAAGTCGTTTGGACTAGCTTAGCCGGCAGCGAATTCCAGCATTTGACAACTCTTAAGGAGTAGGAGTTGTGTCTACAGTCCGTTCTGCTATGTTGTGTCTAAAGTTTTTGGGTGTTACCACTTAGGTTAGTGTTGGAACTATTAATATAGAGTTGACGATTAAGCTTAGGAATTAGATCTCGAGTTCTCAACACGAATTTCCATCAATTATAATGCAAAGACTATATTTATCAAAATCGATTAGTGGATTCCGCGATTAGTTCGTCCACAAATTATAGTCTCGTTCGTTTTATCGACAACCGTACGCTAAGGTGACCTTGAACTATATTTTGCGCTGAAGTCTGATTGGTACGTTTAAATACTTTGATTCTGACGAACAATTACTACTGGTACACACTTCAAAATTAGACTCAATCAAAGACAAAGGCCATAACATTAATTCATCTTATTTCTAGAAATTATTGTTGAATATACATCAGTTCATATCATTTGTAAGGTTTATTGTCACTGAGAGATGCTTGGAATAACCTTACAATGAACAATGAACTTCAGACGACTAAGCAGAAATAAACTGATTTCAACTTATTTCTCGGGAATATCTGAACGTCGCCGTGGTTTTTATTTGTTGAGTCACATGTTTTGTAATCGGGCAAGTTTGTCTGAAGTCAGCAGAGTTTCTGGATACCAGCTGTTGGTTGTGATCTAAAACTAATAAACAGATAACCTAAATGTAATGAGAAGTGGTTACGGATAATTTATGGGACATGGGCACAGCCAGTTCACTAGGAGGATAGTAATCTATGGGCTAGTATATGTTGTCAGGCCTCTCTTGAAGCTGTCATCTGACGAGGCTGTGGTCACCCTGGCTAGAAGAACATGTCAAGTGGGAGCGTTTCCAAATAATAAGAAGTGGGAGCACATTTGGAGGGTTTGCCCTTTTGATATGCGGTCTTTTAAGGGTCGCCGCAAGGAGTGTGGTAATGATGTTCTGATAATATGCTCGAGCTGGGGTAGCTTGGCGTACCTAATGTTAGGTATGCCATCATCAGATCACCTCTTATTCTGTTGCTGCTCAGCGAGAAAAATCTGTCTTGCTAGGGTTCGTTAACTTTATCTATACGTTTCAGAAGCTATCACCCACTTGGTCGCCTATGGACTATTTTGAACGAAATGGATGGTTACATGTGAAATAAACGAATTTAACAAGCCCTTACAAGTAACACAATAGTTTAGATTTCAAGTGGGTATATGTTTCATCTAATGTAAAGGTTGAGAACATTTTGAGTTATATCATTAGTCTTTCGGCGAAATAATCAACCAAAGACATAATGTGAAATATAATATTCATTCTCTGAAAATAGTGGACCACAGACCAACTCTAATGAGGGTGCACGGTTGGAATATTGATGTCAATACAGACAATGAAATACTGTATGATTAATTATCCTTGACTATCATACCTTTTATAGTGAACGAACAATGGTACAGGAGTCCGTTTATCCAACAACTATAGCATGTTCATTTACTCGTACAACAATGCTGGTACTGTGTCAATTACAACTGACTAAACAACGATAAGAAATATAAATGTCTTCATACTTTCGCTGGATATTCCCTCTGTCTCTGGATTTCAATCACAAATTGAAGATCCTATACAATACAACTGAGGACGATGTCACAAAATTGTGATACTGGTAACAAAAAATGAAATCTTGGCACGACCCGACAAGATCAATTGTTCAACACCTCATCTCCCTTGACAGAGGCTATGGTGCGACTTAGCAATGCTATAACAAACACAGTTCTCAAAGTAAATCGGAGTCATTTAGCCTATCGTCTCCAAATGTAACTGTGGTGCCTAAGTAGGCTGTTGTAGGTAACTGGGATTGAAAGTCACCTAAGATGATCAACAACGTTAGTCATTAAAACAATCTCATCTAATGCATCACCTGTAAAATCTCGTTTCAGTGTCGTCCAAGTAATTAAAAAGATGTTGAAATTCAAGCTTCAATTCAACGTTCGAACAAATAGGAATTCAACTTGAGGGGACTCGAAAACCTTGAGAATATATCAAGGTTTGCAGTGACCCTTTATTGATGATCAACCTAAAAGATCTATCTGACTCCATTTACAGTGTATAGGACAAAAGTTACACGATGCCTTGTAGGGATCTAAACAGGAAGCTCAAACCTTCCTAAATAGAAATATAGTGAGTCATATTACTGTGGTATCTGTGCGAACCAATGATTTCTTTGTACTTGATTGCGCACTCATTCATACTCGTCTAGTTCTACGTTCCTTGAATTGCACCATTTTGGGACTTCTAGTTAGCATATTGATTTGAATACTTCGAATTATCACAATGGCACAGTGATGGAGTCAAATCTTGGCCAATTAGATACTGATTCATGTGGGGATGGCTTGAAAGATTACACGGAGGGGTCCGAAATCAGGTGAATGTATGATGTTCACGCGTATTTGAATTATAGTATGAACTAGGAATCCCAGAAATAACGTAATCGGATCAAGAACTACTAGATAACCACAAATGAATGTACTGTATTTAGAATTCGAAATCAAGCATTCAACAAGTACAATGGTATCATTAGTTCATTCAAACACCACAGAATGACTGGAAGATATATTAGAGATGATAAATTCACAGCTTATTTCCTGACTTTCATTGACAAAGAAGCTTATAACCTAACAATGAATCTCTCAAGTAATTACTACTTATTCATGTCCACTGTGTTAGTATTGAGTCCGAGAGAGATCAGTTCTTCATGGAATGATAAAACAGTATGGACAGTATATCAAAGATTCGAAACAATTTGAAGACCAGTTGGAAATTCAAATTCGTGATCCGTTGATTGCTGGGATAAATATTCTGAATTTAGAAAGAGAATTATTTCATAGAGGAAGAAGTCCATTCCGGAAAATTAATACGGCATTATTAACTATGACTCAGTAAATGAGCTTTATTTCATGTCAGCGAAAATTTTGAATACTTTGCTTAGTAGTCGTGATGAATTGCATACTCAATGTTGCTTAAGCTTGCGTTTGTTTAGTAATGGTTACCATTTCCGTGGAAATGTGGAAAATGATTTAACAGTGCTAATAAAACTGAATCATATCCATTTGACTGACAAACATGTCTCCAATCTGAAAAACCTATTCTGCCACGTAACGTCTCTTGGACAAGCTAAGGTCTAAATTTCCCAGTTTTCGAGCGCTTATAGCACAACCAACAGAGGGTTTCTGATAGACAGAAATGTCAGGCATTTTGACTGTCGCTCATCAATGAGCGCGGTGCTAGTGTACTAAGAATTGTCGCATTTAAGTAAGGATACTTCTAATTCGGATATGCTTCATTAAGCTATACTGATACTGTCAATACTAACCAATGTAATTGTCTAACGCATACTAGCTATGGCGTAATTCAGGACAATTGCAGGCTGGCACACATCATGGCAGACCTCAAATGGGGTCAATTCAATAAACCTTCAATCAACCTGACGTTAGAACGTCATTCGTTGGTATCAAAATCCCCGATATACAATAGTTAACAATTTCCCACTGTAGTAGTAGGTGGATACGACATTCTTGGATTTCTCAATAGCTCTCGGTAAAGTTGATGATCTATGTCTCATCGATAAGCTCAAGCTGGTAGGTGTGAAGTCAGCATTTATAGACCGATTAAGGTCATATCAAAATTATCGACTTTTTTCCCAGGCTACAAAATGCCTTAGTGTGGTTCCCCAGGGTTCATTACTAGGACCTCCTCTCTATTTTATTTTATATGTGACTGCTCTCTGATGATCTCTAACCTTAGTGATAACAAGCCAGGATGTCAGCAGGACCCGGCTCTTCAAAGTTGAATCAATAGCAACAGATCTACTTTCAACATACCAAAGTGTGAAGTACTCCATTTGAGGAATCTCGTAAACTACACATACAGCCTAGGCAATTTTAATTTGGAGGCCTCCTATGTTGAAAAAGCACTGAAGTTTTGGTACTATCTGATCCAGAGTCTTATGTTAAGTGTGACAAAAATGCCTTTTTTTGCACAGCATGCTGTGGCAATTCTGAGGCGCATTTCTAGCCATTTTGGTAGCAGAACATTTCACCGAATTTGTATCAGAAGAACCACCTTGAAGACAAATGCGGATGGCAGTTGGGAAAAGTTTTATTTTGAGTTGTAATTAAAGGTACAGGAATGTTAGACTTCCGCGCTGACTGTCTGAGAGAAGATACGCGTTCCATACTTGTCCCTATGGTAATTTATTCATGACGCCTAAATGAGTACCTCTAACTAGTATTATCCACTTAAAAGAACAATTTAGTTACTAACACCATTTAAGCCTTGTCGAGGAGCATAGACCGCTCACCAGTACTCTTCATCCAACTCTCTCTGTGTCGATTCTTTCCAGTTGTTTCCTGTCACTATTCATCCTTTTCAGGTCTACTTCTGATTCTCAACGTAGTGTGTTCATCAACCCTCCTCTTTTCCGTTTTCCTTCAGGATTCCAAGTAAAGTCTTGCCTCGTGATGCCGTTTTATGATTTATGTAATGTACGTTTTATCCACTTTCAAAGTCTTTTCCTAATTTCCTCTCCAACTGGAAGTTGCTTTGTCTTTTCCATAGTAGGTTGTTGCTGATAGTATCTGGCCAACGGATATTAAGTGTCTAGCGTAGACAGTTGTTTATAAATGCCTATACCTTTTTGACGATGGACATAAGTAATAATCAGAAAATGGTGTGTCATAAATTGGTGATTTAGTGTTCTGACTTACTTAACATTGTTTGGTATTATAATGTACTGGTAGACCCAAGTCTATGACACTAACTGAAAAGTCTGTGGTAAAATAATCCTGCGTAAGGACTTGTTTAAATTCACGTTTCGATAAGCATATCGTTTTCCACAACTGATGACTGATTTTTCGTTGGCCGCTTGAAACTGAACACGGTGTCATCTCAGCAACCAACGTTAGAGGAAGGACATCAATTAACCTTGATTAGTACATAAATGTTGAGCAACGATTAATTATTTTAACCACCACTGGATGTTATAAACACATATTATCGTAATAGCAACAAATAGCTTCATTATTAGGATTTAAGATTTTTGGATATAGTTTAATAAGAAGATAGTTTACTTAACGAACTATAATTATCTAGACCATCGTTATGTTACGTCGCGACGAGAATAATGAATGGTAACTGTTGGAATCTATTTCCGGGGTAATACTATACATATATTCTGTTATATAATTGTTAAGTAGCCAAACCATTCATATCTGTATTCTTCATCTCAAAAGCTTTATTTTGACCTATGAACTGTTATTGTACCATTTACCATTCTTGACTTATACCCACCCAGTCGATCAGTTACTACCTCCCACATTCACAGACACTTTTGCTAAATCTTATACAAATGTTGTTTTCTATTTTATGGTATGATGCGGTCTGTTTGATTTGCATATGAACCTAATATATTTAAAATATACGATTCATATTGTAGAGGCTGAGATTGGTATTCTAAACTTAACAGACAGAGTTAGGCAGAAAGCAGGACTGATAAGGACTCTAGACTGCTTATATTGGTTTTATGCGTCATTGGTCTGGTCGATAATTCACTCTTTTCTAATTGATTATATCATTACATGATAAATTATTAGGACACAGAGCACAAATTATAACAAGTTATAAATCCTAAAGCACCAAATAATTTTATTCTCCTTGTTTGATACTCTTCTATAATGCATACTCATGACACTATCATGAATGAAATCTATAATCTTTAGAATTTACAGCTATTTACACTCTACTAGATGATATCCATTCACTTACCTTCCATTTTTAAACTTACGTATTGTCTAACTAAAATTACCGGTGAAATTAATTTATGGACGACCTTTGAACGAATCTTAAGCGACCTTCAGAAATATTAGCCAATCAGCAAACAGTCAGTATAGAGTAAAAATATGTTATACAAAACGAAGGAAGTAAAGTGGATACACTTTTTACACGTGGTTCAAAAAGTTATCAGGGTTAAAAAGAGGTTCAGAGGTTCTAAAATCGCAATGCATACATTAGAGGAAATCATCCATATGGCTACAGAATAGTCGGCCTCTGGAGTCATGATAAAGTCTCAAATACTCAGCTCCGACCATATAGCTTCAATATTGTTTATGTGCACTCCGGTTGTTGAGTCCACAAAATGCTACTTGTGGATAACGATATGATACACATAATCAAGCCTATGTAGGAGTCTGTACGCTCTCCAAACACCCGTACATATTGTAGTACCTGGTTGCAGCCAGTGTTACTGGTGTTTCTATTATCCTGTTCGCAATAATTGTCATAACTTACCTTAATTAGGAATTATATACGGGGTGTTCATCACGAACTGACATAAGCTGTAATACCAGAAATTCATCTAGCGAAATGGATGAAAGGCTTTCGCGTTAAATCCGAGATCTATTATCTTATACCTGGTTGATTCGTCTACAAATTATAGTCTCGTCGTTTCATTTGTTCTAGCCTCTTAATTGTCACATTTTGAAAAGAATCTCCTGTGAATCAATCGTACGTTAGCATTAAGTACTGAAGTTGATGCTATGACCTTGAAATCTCTAAAACCCTTTTGATCGGCTCGCCCATAAATTAGAGTCTCGTTAAATTACCTCCTCATACTGAACATCCAAATACACACACACACACAAAAGTGTTTTTTTTCTATGGAAAAAAAAGCATAGATACATATATTTTGATTGAAAAAATAATTATGTTAATTTATTCATTAATTCTTTTCACATTATATATATATATATATATATATATATATATATATATATATATATATTAATTGTTCTGTTGTTCTGTTCATATATATATATATATGTATGTATATTTGGAATAAAGCCAACTGTACAAATGAAACTATTTCTTATTATGTCATAAGTAATCACATATCATTGATGATCATTATCCATCGGAAATAATCATAGTGATAATAGTTACCTTCACTTTGATTTGATGTAACAAAAAAACAAACAGAGAAGAAACAAAAAAGGGAAGAAAAAAACAGCTAAATAATCATGAAAAGAAAAAGAGAAAAAACAACAACAACAACAATATTGGAAATTGAGTAAAGAAAAAAGATTGTGAACCATTTAATATTAGAATGATATCTCACTGACTGTTTTTTGTTTGTTTGGTTTTTACTGTTTTTGTTTTTGAAAGGATCTTTGAATATTGAATATTGTATAAAGGAATGTGTGAATTTTTTTTGGTGTTGTTGTTGTCGATTTTCTTATGTATTCAATCTGTCAATGAAGTAGTTTATATTAGTCTCCTTGGATTGTATAAGCATCATAATGAACAAATTTATTGCAGTTTATGATTCCTATCAGTTTTGTTGTCTTTTTAAATGTCTATCTTTTAATAGATGAGAAGCTGGAAAAAAAGGTATAGGTGTATCATATAGTAGGTTGAAAGCGATAAATGTGTGTGTGTGTGAGAGAGAGAGAGAGACAGAGACAGAGAGAATAAGAGAAAAAAAAGAGAATATCATATCATTCATCATCACCTCTCCCCCTCACGACAGAAAACGATTATCTTTATATACAATTCGGATTAAAATGACAACATGATTCAAAGTCACTGGAACAGTTAACATGCAATTTGTTTTTTTTTATATATTATAAATTTAACCTTCAAAATGTTCTTTTTTTGGACACTTTTTTTCTAGGGGGTAGGAGTTGTGGTGGTTGGGTGGGGGGGGAGGTAATATCAGGAACCATTGAACCATCATCTATTATTTCTTTATTATTATTATTATACTTTCTTAAATGGGAAAGTAAAAGATATTGTTCATTTAGATTATTTGATATGTAATGAATAAATAAGTAAATATTCAGAGTGATAAAGACTACTTGATATTGATGATTTATATTTTCTGTGCGTACATTATAAATCATTGTACATAATTCACATAGTAATAATGAATACTCAAGAGATGTATAAACCACCACCACCACCACCACCACCACCACTACCACCACCATCACCACCACCACCACAACAACAACGACAAAAGAGGGAGTAAAGCTTGAAAAAAAGAAGAAAAAACATTTTTTTTCTTAAACTCTCATTTTCAATTAGATAAATTAACAACTCTTAGAAGTATTTGTCACTGAATTGAATTCTAATTGTATTGGAGAATTTTTAGAATATTCATATTGATTTATTTGGTATCCATGGTCACAATGATGAGGATGATAATGTATTAAACATTGTTGACAAGAGTTATTTGATAATGAGGATGCATTCATCATTGTGTTATGATGATGATGATCATTATTATTTGAATGATTCCATATTAATGAGTTATGTAACACATTTTCTGTATTATTTAGTTTATTGAATGTTGAACAATGGCAATGATTTAAACATTCTGTATTATTTGTCATATCATTAGTATTATTCAAATTGAATATAACATTATTATTATTATTATTATTATTATTATTATTATTATTATTATTATCATAGGGTAAGTTAGTCATTAATGGTATATGATGAATGATTGAGTCTACATTTGAACATGGTATATAATTTGATTGATATTGATCAATTAATGATAAATTATATTGATTTGAACCATTAGAACTTGTATAAGTATTCGGTAAATGAGTGTGATCATTTATTGGATCAATAGATTTATCATCATTGAATTCACTTATTATTGGTATATTATTTAATAAAGAAGTTCCCATGGATTCTATATGATTTATATTATTGATCTTAGAATGATCTAATTGATTTATTGATTGTTTCATTATATGTGATAAATTATCAGAATAATTAATTAAAGAATCAGATAATATTGAAGAATTTTCAATTAAATCAATAATGGATGATATTGATAAATTTTTATGAATATTTGAATGATCGATCACGTTTAGATCAGTTTTATTTATAGTTGATATTGAAGATATATATGTTGAAGGATCAATATAATTAGTACAATTATGTTTTATGTTTGTAATGGGAAACTGTTGATTAGAAAGATTATGATGATGCTGCTGATACCGCTGATGATACTGCTGATGATGATGACGTTTAGAATTCTCGTTCATTGTACTTTGTGAGCTTATATCCGTAGGATTAGTTTTAGTATTCATTGTGTATGCTTTAGTTATATATGTATCAAATAATGGATTAAGATATATTTTAGATAGTTTTGAATAATTCTGTTTAGGTAATGATAAATTGATTGAATGTTGATCCAATTTATATGGAATATTTTCCTACAATTAATGATAATAATAATAATAATATGAATTAAAAGTATACAAATGTGAAGGTAGATAAATAATGTCAAAGTCATTTTTAGTGACTTTAAACTATGCCCCCAAATGACCTGGTATGGCCAAGAGTGGAGTGGGTCTGCCCTCCCTCTCGAAATGCTCTCACACGGCCACGTGTATACAGCCTCTGCCAGGGAAGTCCTACTCATTGCCTTCTCGTGGCGGGGGTATTGTTTACGAAAATGAGAGGACGAAAAGCGAATGTCCGGCGCTATAACCGGATCCTAAACCAATGGTACACATGGGCTCCAGTATCCTATGGGTGTGTGACCCCCTAAGAAAACCACCTGCTTTGATCTGGACACCCGGGTAGTATCACAGCCCATACACACAAATATGGTGTGGCGCATATGTATTCGGTGCCCTTGACTTTAAACTATCCAAATGAATTAGTTAAGATGAAATTGGGTGACTTTCAATCTTTTTTCTTTATCGAAAGGGGTTTTGTGGATATTTTAGAAATTTCACTGATTGAAATCATAAGTCGATTGAAGCTAGATTACCATGGAAAACCTGGAAGCACTGGACGGCCGTTTCGTTCTAGTATGGGACTTTTCAGCAGTGCTCATTCACGATCCCACGGAGTGAGGGACGAAACAGCCGTCCAGTGCTTCCAGGTTTTCCATGGTGGTCTAGCTTCAACTGACTCATGATTTCAATCTTTTTGACAAATTTCAACAAATAATTCTAAGTGATATTCACCTTGTGAAAAGTTATTGTAGAAGGTATCTTTATCAAGCGTTTTAAGTCTTTACGGTTAGTAACAAAATGTTTGTTATGTTATTGTGTAGTAGAAATGACATTATGTGAAGAAAAAGAAAGATTACACTAAAAAGGTTTAGGAGTCGTTTGAATAATAAACACTTTTGTAGTATGAAAACCGAAAAAAGACAGAAGAGTTGATTTAAGCTAGACCATCATTGGAAACTTGAAAGCACTGGATGGCCGTTTCGTCTTAGTACAGAACTCTTCAACAGTGTGTGTCCACGATCCGCATGAGATCCATGTTGGGTGTGAGACAGTTATTCTCCTCACACAAGATCATGGATAGATTTAAGTTAAACAGTAACACCATTGGTTGGTGTTTTATTGGTCTAGATGTTAAGTGTTAACGCATGAGACCAGAGGTCTTGGTTTCAAGTTCTCTATGCGGAGTCTTGGATATGCACCATTCAGAATTCGTATACTAGGACGAAACGACCATCCAATGTCTCCAGGTTTTTAATATTGGTCTAGTTTAAGTTGACTAATGAACTCAACTGTTGAAATTACTACAACCTCCACAAATCCCCATACTAATAGTAATCATGTGCTTACTAGTGCCTATCTTCGACATGGGTTTTCCGGAGTTCTAGTGAGAAGCCGTGACCAGTCGAGTTGGGTGTCAGACAATCGCACAAAACCATGAATCGATCGAAATTAGAAATTAACACCGTTGAATGACATCATGAAATTGATCACAGTCAAACAACCAGTGAAAATTAGAAAGCATTGGACAATTGTTTCATCCTTGTATGGGAATTTTTGGTTATGAGCGTCTATGAACTCACAGAGAATCAAACCCAGAACCTTCAGGTTTTTTAGTGAGTGCTTAATCTTTAGATTGTCTTGTTGTAATACAACGAATAACGTCTTATATTTCAGTCAACTCACGATATTGCGTAACTGTTTTCCAATGTCATTGATTGGTAACCGCCATACACCTGATGCAGTCAAAATCACTTAATCAGGAGTTCTACGTATCAAACTTAAGCACTAGTGAGGACATGATATTGAGACGATAATTTTCATAACGAACCAATATCACCATTGAATAAAGATTAAACATCAAGAATCATGACACTAATCTCTTGAGATATCATTCATGCATAGTTTATATTCATTAATAATTCCCTAACAAAATATTTGTCCAATATATTGTAGTTTCTGATAAAAACTATGAAATGATAAGAAAACTACTAGTTTATTCAATAATCCAATAAAACTAATCTAAAGCATAGCAACTAACATACCATCTAGTGTTAAAACTTCCTGCCATTTTATTATAAACACTTACAGTTCAATGAAACTCTCTTAACGACAGGAAAAAAAGAAACAGGTGATAATCATTCATCGACCATTTTGTAACTAACGTCTCAACACTAGTTGTATATATATATATATGATGAAATTGTTATTTAATGGGAGATGGGGGGGGAGACTCTTACTTACTGGATTATCTTGTTTCGAAACTGTTGATTTTACCACTACTGATGAGCATGTTCTGCTTGATGACTGTCGCTTTTTATAACTGAAAAAATAAAATTTAATATATATACATATATAATGAGAACTAGTGTAATGAACAAACACTCAAATGAAGATAACCAGCTTATTATTCAATTGAAAATTATAGAATATCTCGGTAACATATAAGATGGTACAAGTATTTGTAAACAGTTGTCTTCGCAAGATACTGAACATCAATTGGCCAGAGATCATCAGCAACAACCTACTGTGGGAGAGAACAAACCAGCTTCCAGTTGAAGAAGAAATTAGGAAAAGACGATGGAAATGGATAGGACATACATCAAACTGCATCACGAAGCAAGCCCCAAACTTGGATACGTGAAGGGAAACAGAAAAGAGGAAGACCAAAGAACACATTACGTCGGGAATTGGAAGCAGATATGAAAAGGATGAATAGCAAGTGAAATGGATTGCTCAGGACAGGACTGGACGGAGAATGCTGGTGATCGGCCTATGCACCTCCACGAGGAGTAACAGGCGTAATTAAGTAATTAAGTATTATAAGAATCATACATTGAATACTTCATTTGTAAATTTCCATCACTTGTCTTTTATATTCTGAATGATTCTTGAAATTCAGAATTTCTTTCTATTTCTTCTTCTAATCACTCTAATTAGATCTTTTTATTCTTCTATTTTCAACTATTTAACTTTTGATTGGTGTTATATACTACTTATTTCGCTAGATATAAGTAGTATAAATACAATATAAGCAAAATTATTTGTGAATTCAGTAAATGATAGATAAATGAATCTTTCATTTATATAAATAAACCAAACTACAATACTGGACAATATTTTACTATTGGTTTTATTTAAATACTGTAAACTTAAGATTAACTTTCATAAAATGTAAAATACTTATTAAGAAGTACTATACATAGTAATTTAAAACTAATATATAAAACAATTTTGCATCAGTGACATTGACCACCGTTCTCGTGAACTATTGAAATACGAGAGTTTTACATATTTATTTATTTAAAGACATAAACATTGGTACAAGGAAGCATCAAATATATATGCGCCACATAAATCATTCGATTTATGTGAGGCCTGAGATACTGCCAGGGTTTCCAAACCGAGGCAGGTTTTCTTAGGGAGTCATACCCAGATCCTTCAACTTAAAGGTCTAATCCACAAGGCAGTGGCGCAATGTAAAGAGATGCAGTCCCAAAGTAGCCGGTGATCAACAATAGTCTCATACGCTATTTACTTCCTTAGGAACCTGGAGCATATGTACACCACTGGTTTGGAATAAGGGTTTTTCCAATTCTCCTAGATAGATCATCCACATCCACTGACTCGGTCAAAGTGCCCGACATTCGCTTTTTGTTCTCTCAATTTCGTAAAAAGCACCCTAGCTATGAGAAGGCAGTGAGTAGGACTTTCCTGAAAGTGGTTGTATGAACGTGGCCATGTGAGAGCATTTCGAGATGGAGAGCTGAATCTCCCCACTCTTGGCCGTTCCAGGGCATTTGGGGGCCGAGAAAGGCATATAATAGTTGTTTTTGTTTTTCATCGTTAAGCCAATTTTCTGGGTATTACGTCATGTGGTGAGCACGATTTATTTTAGATTGAAGAGATTGAATTAAATCGTTTACAATTTCAAATTCATTCACTTTCCCAGTTAATGAAACTTTATGACTATCCCATTATATCATGAAATCGTTAGAATTCGTGGATAACAATCACTATGTTCCAACTGCGTATTCTTAATAAACTGGATTAATAACAAAACCTAAATTTGTTAAGTTGGACTATATATTGGGTCAGAAGCGTACATAGAATAATAATATTGAATAAAAGGAGGAAAAAGCTGTTCAGTTTTAAACGGTTCACATATTTTGATTCTAATATATTATAATATTGTTAAAATAATCTGGAATATTTTAATTATTAGATGAAAAAAACATCAACTTTGAGATGCAGGTACATCCAGCTGATGAGTCATAAATAGGACGAAACACGTGTCAAACTAGATCCCACAACTAGCCACTATCCATCTTTGCTTATGACGCTTGTGACCAGGGCTCAGTAGCTAAGTGAGTAAAGCGGCGGCATTTCAAGCGAACGGTACTGGGTTCAAATCCCAGTGTGAACAATAACTCTGAGATGCAGGCACATCCAGCTCATAAATGCCAAATAAGACGAAACGTGCATCCTAGATTCTACTGATAGCCACTATCCATCTTTGCATATAATAGCTTACATTAGGTCACGAAACATCAGAAATACAATTTTTGTACTCATTCGGATATAATAAAAATATATTTATTATTAACTCTCTATCCAATACTCAATTTATTTGAAACTATTAAGTTCAACTTTGGTATGGATACCTATAGATAAATTCGAATGGATAAAATTATTATTCATATGTTATTAATAGTGTGGTATGTGCTATTGATGCCGACAGATATAAGTGGTGTGCAGCACTAATCGGAAGTGAAATACAAAAAGGCGGAAGGCTAAGGGGATCAAAGAAAAGAGAGTGAGATCAAAGAATGATTGGTGCAGAAACGAAAGTACAATGAAATCTGGGACAAATTCTGTGATTTTGTGGTGAAATACATTTGATTGTCCTCATTTGTGTTCTCATTCACTAGATTTGATGTCACTGCCAACCAAAAAGGAGGAAGTGTGTTCTTTCACAGACTCCGATGAGTGTCTGGAACTGAGACACTGGTTGGTGTGGTATGTGCTATTTATATCGACATATGCACCATATAACGTTAGTCAGGAATAGAATGTCTGGCAGCAGAAGATTAAGAAGATCAAAAAAGAAAGAACAGAAACAGAAACCATTTGATATACGAAATGTAAAAACAATTAAATATGGAACGATTCACTGATATTTTCAAAAAGAAACAGTCATGTTTGAGACAATTGATTAACAATTTGTAAATGAATCATTTACTGTGTAATTCTCAGATTATACTAAGATATTCTGCAATTCTATATTCAATTACATTCGATTGTCCCGCACTTATGTTCTCTTGTTTACTACAACCAGTATCTCACAATCAACATTTAATATTCAATCCATAAAAATTTCATCTAATTTTTTTTTTTCAAATCGGCTACAAAAAAAAGTTTTCTTGCCGCTTCTAATAAACACCGAAGGTATATAAGTAGTATAAAAGTACTTTAAACCAGAAAAAAAAGTATTCATCAAGGGACAACAACAACGACAACAACGACGGCAACGACAACAAAGACGACAGCAACAACGACAACAACAGCAAAAACGACAACATCGACGACGACAACATCAACACCAACGACGATAACAACAACAAATAGATTTGACAATTTACATAAATGTAAATGGATAAAAATAACATTTAAACTTGCGAAATAAAATGACTTACCAAATTTGAATTATTGAACATAGAAAAAAAATGAAAAGTAATGTAAGAAGAATACCGATTGTTGAAAATAAAAGTACACGAGCAAGATTTGATTCACAGCCTAATTAAATAAAGAAAAGAATTAAAATAAGAAAAAAAAAGAAATAATATCAATACAATAAATAGTGCTAAATATTTCTCTGGTTTATAGTTTGTATTATCTCTTTATGTTATTCTACTATCTTATAGGTTAGATATTTAGGTCAATGGTTTGTGGTGTGACCTCGTAAGAAAACCATCTGCTTCGGTTTGAACTGTGTTCTTCTAAGACTATTATGGAAAACCTGGAAGCACTAGATGGCTGTTTCGGCCTATTGTGGGAATCTTCGGCAATGTATATCCTATCAGTCTTGCATACGAACGCTCAACCATTAAACCATTGAGCTGGCATCCAATGGTGTTAATGTCTGACTTCAACTAATTCATGAAATTGAGTGACACATGGTGGTCTAGCTTGAAATGACTCATGATCTTGTTATGACTGATGTGACTGCAGGTCTTGATAAGCAGCGTTTATTGATCGATTCGGTGAGAGTGACACGGAAAACACGTAAGGGACGACCTAGTGCCCTGATTGGCCCTGCCCCGCTGTCTGTCCTAGCCCAGTTGAGTGGAGAACAAAAGTCACAGCCTCGGAGATATGAATCACTATATTTCAAACATACTTTGTTTATATACTAGTCAAGCATACCACAGCGTACCATAAAAATAGAAAACAACATTTTGTACAATATTCAACAAGTGAACAGATATCGACCAATAGGAAATGTCCATTTAAAGTCCAAGGACACCATTGAACTTAACATGATAATTATTGGTCTATTCCTGCGCATCCACAACAGATCTCAACCATTAAAATTAGTATAATATCCATAAAACCCCTTCTGATATTAATTTTGTGCCAAAAAACCACAATTTACTTCCCAAATGCCATGTTACAGCCAAGAATGGGGAGAGTCTTCTCTCCCTCTCCAAATGCTCTCACACCACCAGTTGCATACAACCACTGTCAAGAAAGTCCTACTCACTGCACTCTGGCGACGAGGATGTTGTTTACGAAATTAAGAGAACGAAAAGTGAATGTCCGGTGTTTTAACCGATTTGGTGAATATGGAGAATCCACCTAGAGAAGTTGGAGAAAACACTCATTCCAAACCAATGGCGCACATGAGCTCCACGATTCTAAGGGAACAAATTGCATAGGAACCTATCGATGGTCACTGGCTACCATGGGACTGTATTTTCTTACGTTACTCCATTGTCTTATAGATTAAATATTTAGGTCAATTGGTTGTGGTGTGGCCCTCTAAGAAAACCACCTTCTTTAGTTTGAACACCCGGACAATATCTCAGCCCTCAGAGAAATCGAATGACAAAATGTAGTGCATGTCTATTTGGTATCTTCTTGTATCAATCTTTATATGTTTAAATAATTAAAACTAAATTATGAACATTGAGAATTTGTAAATCATTAAATAGATAACTAATATTAGGAAAAAGTCATAAATAACTTGATTCTAATATTATACCACCTTAGAAGAATTTCATCTTATGATATGGACAGTTTAAACTAGAACTATCTTAACTACTATCATCACTATTGGTGTATGATCATGATGATATTTCTATCATGAATGGTCATAAATCAAATTACATAATTGAATCAATGTAACCCTAGAGAGATGGTAGTAACTACATGAAGCTCTTTTTTTTGTTTCTATTATAGATTTATGATTTAAGTTTAAATCATCATTAGAAACAGTGAATCTGGCAATGAAGTTTTAATTACATTTACATGAAAACAAAAAAGGAATTTAAACAGAAAAAAGATGTTTCACTGATTGAAATCATGAGTCAATTGAAGCTAGACCACCATGGAAAACCTGGAAGCACTGGATGGCCGTTTCGTCCTAGTATGGGACTACTCAGCAGTGCGCATCCACGACATTGCCACTTGCAATGGTAATCTTAACTATTGAATGACCTAATCTGACTGCTGTACTTACGACATTTCGTAGTCAAACGTGATTGTCAGTACAGAGTTGTGGGGACTAGTAAGTTATTGGTTGAGATCATGAACCGACCATCATTGAAAAACTGGAAGCACTGGACGGGCATTCCGTTCTAGTATAGGACTCCTCGGAAGTGCGTATCAAATTCAGTGCTTTCAGTCTCGCGCGCGAGCGCTCAACCTATTAGACCACTGAGCCGGCCTGCATCTAACGGTGTTAATGTCTAACCTCAACCAATTTACGAATCCAGCGAGCGAGATCGTGGATACGCACTTCTGAGGAGTCCCACAATAAGAAGACACAGCCGTGCAGTGCTTCCACGTTTTCAATGGTGGTCTAACACCAATCGGTTTATGATCTCAATAAATGTAATTCTCTCTGTTATCTTTATTCACAAATCCTTGTATTATTATTATTACTGTTGTTATTACTATTGGTTAAACATCATTATTAATCTCCCCCATACATGATTCATTCACTTCGCATTCATCCCTCCTTATTATATCTTACTAATTTTTCACACAATACTGCCTTCCACTAAACATTCGATCGAATTGTAATTGCACTATTATTTCTCTCAGCCTATCCAACCTTTATTTATTCTGATCATAGATCTTAAAAGTTTCACTTAACATGTAAGTTAATTCAAGTTAACATTCTATATGAGTTATATAAACTTTAACAACTTTATTTTATAGAGAACAGCACTGGGTTCGAATCCCAGAGTGAACATCATATCTGAGATATAGGTACATTCAGCTGACCAGTCCCAAATAGGATTCCACTACTAGCTACCATCCATCTTTGGTTATAAAGCTTGTGACTTAAAGCCGTATCGAAACAATCCTCCCAGGATGCACATATCTCAATAAGAGACTGATGAATTACAGTCCTAAATAACAATGGGAAGATGCAAACAAACAACATCAAGTGAATATATTCTATTTCGTTTGACAATCTTAGATTCACATGCTTTAAACGATGCACTATACCCTTAATCTGGACCATTTTTCCACATTATTAATTCAAATATATGAATTGTAGAACCTAAAGAGAATTTCTTGAAAAGACTATTCTTCCTTTCTAGATTAGTCTTTTACAATGATTTTATGTAATTGACCAGTATAAAGAAATTCCTCTGGTTTAAAGTTTATATAGAGTCCCCTTAAATATTATTACATCAGGAGAGGATATGTAAAATGAATTACAGTATATAATCAGTATGATTAGGCAGTGATGGATAGTGGCTAGTAGTGGAATCCCAGAGTAAATATCAACCTTGAGATGCAGGTACATCTAGCTGACGAGTCCCAAATAGGACGAAACGCGCGTCCTGGATTCCACTGCTAGTCACTATTTATCACTGCTTACAAAAAGCTTGTAAATTAAGGCAATATCGAGGCATACGCACAGTATGCACATATACCAATAACAGACTGATCAATTTCAGCCGTAAAACCTCAATGGAAAGATACAAGTAAAACAATACCAAGTGAATATGATTAATATATCATAAATTTCTTATGTTTATTAAAAAAATGTTATAGAATAGAAAGGGGTGACTTTGTTTATCACATAATACATTAAATCCTTATTTGATATTATCTAAACTATCATTTACAAACCAACAAGCATTAAATAGTTATTTCGTCCTTGTATGAGACTCTTCATCAGTACTCATTCTCATCAGGATAATACAAATGTATCATTTATTTTAATAATAAATAATGATATTACATAATTGGTACTAATTTGATCTTCAATGGAATAGTTAAGTATTATTTTGAATATAGAAGTTATTTAATATAATTATATGAGTAATCAAATAACAATAAATATAGGTATTTGTATAGTTTTGTCATGAAAGTTATTCATCTGGATGGTTTTAGCCCGAAAAAATCAACCACATTGGAATTAAGGTAATTATCTGTAAGTGAAAATATATGAGGATCAAATTATGTAGTAAGAGATATCTTAGTATTATGCATTTGATTCTATATGCAGTTGTGAGTTGGAACTGTTGTATAGTATTGTAGTGAACGAGAATATAAGTAGGGACAATTGAATGTGTTTGAATACGAAATAACAGAATGTCTTAGCAAAATCTGAGAACCATACAGTAAATGCTACATGTACAAAATGTCAATCAATTGTCTCGTACTTGAATGTTCCTTCATTTCCACACCAATCGTTCCTTTGTTCTCGTTCTCTTTTCTTCGATCTTCTTAACCTTTTGCCACAAAGTATTTCACTAACGATTGATAATACATACTACTTATATCTGTCGATATCAGTAGCACACACCATATTAATATTGATGATATTCAATCAAAGTTCATAGTATATTTTTAAGCAACTGTCACAATATCTAAGTTTCATTAAACTTGATATTGTATGGTAGTGTCAGTGTATATCAGTATTATCCGATCTGTACTGATTTTCTAGGTTTAAGATTAACGTTTTTTTTAAAAAAAGACTTTAATGTATTGGGGAGTATTAACGTTTACTTAATTTACTCTATTAAAACTAAAGGAAGTTAGATGAATAAAAGATATTTTGATTAAATTACATTACTCCTTTAGTATGAACAAACAAAGATAGATAGATAGATAGATAGATAGATAGATAGATAGATAGATAGATAGATAGATAGATAGATAGATAGATAGATAAAGCGATTACCGATTCTTCTTTTCCGGTTAACATTACATATGAAGTAAATTAAGGGTTTTTTTCTAGAACCGTTATTGTGACGTGTGCTACTGATGTCGACAGATATAAGTAGTATGTATCATTAATCAAAAGTGAAACACTTGGTGGCAGAAGGTTAAGAAGATCAAAGTAAAGAGAATGAGAACAAAGAATGATTAGTGTAGAAACGAAGGAACAATGAAGTCTGAAACGATTGATTAGGATTTTGCAAATGAAGTATTTAATGTATGGTTCTCGGATTTTACTAAAACATTCTGTAATTCTTGTGGTCAAATATGTTAGATTGTAATTTTTCAATAGTTGAATCTATGAGTCAAATAAACCTAGACCACTATGA